ATGCATTTAAATGGTTTCTCTCCCGAGTGGATCTTTTTGTGACTTCTAAGTCCACTGCTCTGAGCAAAGGTCTTTCCACACTCCATGCATTTATATGGCTTCTCCCCTGTATGGATCACATTGTGGGAAATAAGAGTACCTCTTTGAGCAAAGGTCTTCCCACATTCCATGCATTTAAATGGCTTCTCCCCTGTGTGGATCTTTTTGTGGATAGTAAGTCTACCATTCAGAGCAAAGGCCTTTCCACACTCAGTGCATTTATATGGTTTATCTCCTGTGTGGATCTTTTTATGGCAACTAAGTCCACTACTCTGAGCAAAGGTCTTTCCACATTCCATGCATTTATATGGTTTCTCTCCCATGTGTCTCCTTTTATGGACTGTAAGTTCGTTGGTACAAGGAAAGGTTTCTCCACACTGCATACATTTATACAGCTTCTCCCCTATGTGGATCCTTTCATGGGAAGTAAGATGCCCATTTGTTCTAAAACATTTTCCACATTCCAAACATTTATAAGGCTTCTCTTTTGTATCAATTTGGGATGTAAGGAAGTTATATGGTTCCAACTGTTGGGCAAGAAAGTCTTGCATTGGAGCATCAGTGGAAAATGAGCTTTCCTGATTCCAATCATTTGACTGGTTTCTCTCATGGCTTTCAAATTCCATTTGAATTCCAAACTTCTCCATTCCATCTTTAGCATTGATCACTTGGAACATTTCACGGGAACCTTGATTCTCCTGCCCATTGTTACCTTCAAAGCAAAACAGAAATAAAAATGATAGCAAGGTTAGAGAAAAAGTACAAAGTCAAGTGAATTTCCTTCTGAATTTCTCCGAAATTCTATTAGGTTGTATGTTTGCATTCTTACAGTGGTGTGATATAGACATGATGATTTCTAAATTGATGAGTCATGAAAGCTTTGAAAATATCTAGAAAACACCTCTTTCTTTAGAATTATCTATATATATGCAAATCTCACTCAAAATTAGTTTTGAGTGAAGGAATAATCAGGGAAAACATCCAAGGGGGAATTAGGAGACAATTTAAGATTTATTGGGGGTTTTTAATTTCAGCAGAGACCTGTGAGAACTGAAACCATTTTGAAACAAGCTCCTACTTCCCTGGTGTACGTTGGGGTAGCTGTCTGTCTGGCGGGACCCCTGCTCCATCCAATCCTTGATGCCAGCAATGAAACTTCAGAGTGAAATCCCTTCCTTGAAGCCTCCCATTGGCTTGTAAATACTCTTCGTGCTAAGACTGGATAGGATGGGAGGGTTCAAGAATGGCTATTTCGCTGCCCCAAAGTCTCATCGGCTTTCAAGGGCTCTTTGGCCAGATCAGGTACAGGCTTTAATTTGCAGAGGCCTAAACTACTTTAGTGTGAGATAACAAGAGACCAGTAGTGCAAGATCTAAGGCTACTGATCTCGCACTGCAGTACTTTAGGCCTGTGTTCCGTACAAACTAAGGACTGCACAAAATCCAGGGCAAAAGTCCCGGAAAATGAAGAGGCCTTCCCTCTGTTTGCAAAGTACTTTGTCCTGGATCTCATGCAGGTCTTGGTTAGCAGAGAACAGAGATCTAAAGTAATACAGTAAAAGTTCACATTTGATCTCGCGTATCTCTTATTACTTTAGGCCTCTTTTTTCTGCAAATGCACCGAAGCAGACGGCTCGCTACAGTAAGTCCCGGTGGGGTGGGGTGGGGATATACAAAGGACGAATGTTGTTGCAGTGCCTCTGCCATCATGTGTGTGAATAATGGCCATGGTGTTGCAACATTGATAATTTAGGGAATAGGTCATAAGTACTGGGGGAGGGGGGGGGGGCTAGGTTGTAACTTGGAACTGTCGCTAAGGGAACTGTTGTAACTCAGTGATTAACTATACCCTAAGATGCTCTGAGTCACATTGCATGAGTCCTTCATTCTTGAATTATATTGGGAGAATTCTCTTCAATGGCCTTAGCGTGAAAGTTCTATTCTCACACAATTTGGGGAGGTTTCAGAGGACAAATGATAACACGTTCCTCTCATATGCCCTCCGGAGGACACACAAAAGCAACCTCATTCTTTTTAGCCTCCACAGGTAAGCTCAAATAGAAATGGAAAAATACAGATATGAAATGACACAGAAAGATTGGGGACTAGAAAACTCTTACCCAGAGAGGCCACGTTCCTATGGTTTTCAAGCATGACTTCCGAATGCAGCGTTTTTTGGTCAGGATCCAGCTGTGACCATTCCTCCTCAGAGAAATACACAGCCACCTCCTCAAAAGACACAAGATTCTCCTGAACACGGAAAAAAGAACACAGCAGGAGGATTTGCAAGATCTGTTCATCTTCAGCAATGATTTAGACAAGAGGAAGGGGAACTCATCAAATTTGCAGACAAGACCAAATTGACAGGAATACCAACACTCCAGAAAATAAGCTTGAGATAGAGAAGAATTAATAGATTGGGACCATCTAAAAAAATGAAAAATGTTGAGAAATGTAAGGTTCAACACCAGAAACTACAACAGGGATCTTGCAGTCCTATTGGACAATCACTTAAACAGGAGACAGCAATGTGCTACAGTTGCCCCCCCCCCAAAAGAAAACCCAAAACAATCATAGGCTGCACTAAGAGAGGGATTGAATCTAGAACACATGAAGTGTTTGTACCAGTTTATAATGCCTTGGTAAGACCACACTTGGAATATCACATTCAGTATTGGGTGTTACGATGTAAAAAAGATCTTGAGACTCTAGAAACAGTACAGAGAAGAGCAACAAAAATGATTCGAGTCCTGGAAGCTAAAACATATAAAGAATGGTTGCTGGAATTGGGTATGTCTAGTTTAACGAAAAGAACAACTACGAATGACATGATAACAATGTTGCAATATCTAAGGGGCTGCCACAAAGAAGAGGCGGCCAACCACAATTCTCCAAAGAACATGAAGGCAGGACAAGAAGCAGTGGATGGAAACTAATCAAGGAGAGAACTAATCTACAACTAAAGAGAAATTTCCTGATAGTGAGAAAAATTAATGAGTGGAATGACTTCCCTCCAGAACTTGTGGATGCTCCGACACTGGAGGTGTTTAAGAAATTGGGCAGTCATTTATCTGAAATGTTTGATCTCCTAATTCAGGCACAAATCAGAGGATTGGAAATTATTTTGTAGCCCAAAGTACCTTGATTACATGTTCTAGTGGCCATTCTTTTTGGATTTAAATAGTCTGTTTTATTTTTTAATATGATTTGATGATTTTTGAACTACTGGTTATAAATAAGGCTTTTTTAAAATGGTAATGTGGCCATATGAGTATTTAGTTATTTTTCATTAGCCTTGCACAATTCCAAGTCAAAGAATTACAAAAAGAACAGGTTTCTAGACGTTACTACCACAGTGATACGTTTATTCCTATTTCTTGAAGAACTTTTTAACAAAATACTTCTTGTAAACTCACAGTTGGAAGAATACATAGCAGAACCAATTAACCTATAGTCTTTAAAAAGTGATCTGGCAGATGCCATTTTGAGGCTCCAGTGCTGCCACATTAGAGCAAGGGATAGGGAGGGGGGATTAGAGATAGCTGGGGTAGTGTAGTCATAATAAAATACTTGCTCCCGGAAACCAAGGACGTTCTCACACTTGGCCAGATGACGGAGGAATGATGACCCAAGACCAGCGGAGCTTGCAATGATTGGGCCATGTGACTGTTTTGGGTTGAGAAGAAAACTTGTTTTTAATTAGGTAAAAACCACAGGAACTTTCAGAGTTGGTTTTCACCAGATTTGTGCCAATTTGACAGTTCCAATTAACCTTTCTTTGAGGAATACACCTTCCTCGGAGTTTTGCTTGAAATGTAATATTATGCTGCCCATGTTGCGCAGGAACACAAAAATAATCCAGTCAGAACAAGAGTGAAAAATAGGAGACACAACTCTGCACACCCTCTTCACTGCCTCAAGGAAAGGAGAATACAAAACTAATAATGCTCCCCTTTCTTACTAGATTTGGAGGTTCATCCACTGTTTGAGCTCCATCGTAAAAAACAGATAACTTCATTCTTTGTATTTCTGTAAGGATAAAATAATTTCAAAATGCATATTTAAAAGAATAAGAGGTAATAAGTATATTACAGAAGTATATTACAGAAGAGAAGGTAAGACAGATGGGATCTCTCTGGGTAATCAAAGGAAATTCGATTACCTCCTGAGGTGTCCTGACTTGGATCTTCCCAAGGGATCCTCCTGAAAAATTGCTCCTGAGGGGGATTTGATGGATTCTTCTTTCCCTCAAGATCTCTGATCTCCATAGTGCAACACTTCAAATAGGAGGAGGGAAAAAAGAAACAGAATTAATTTACATCACATGACATAAAGTGGATTCTTATATTTGGAACACGACCTCAAAGCTTCCAATATCCATCCGTGAGGTTGAGTGAGAAAACAATGGAACAATGTCCTACAAGAATTGGGAAATTGCCACATATTATGAATGTCAGAGAAGTTTGGAAAGGAGGAGTGAAGTATTCAGGCATACTCTCTATTTTCTTTTGAGCTCTCACCTGCAACTGGAGCTGCTCCTTCTGCTCTTCCGCCTGGCTCAGGAGGAAGCCTTCCATCAGGGCCACCGCTTGGGAGCTGGTCTGTGCTCCACACTCCCGCACCCAGCACTCCATCTCTGGGGGCAGAAGGAACAGGAACCGCTCCAGAACAACCAAGTCCAGCATCTGGGCTTTGGTGTGCTTTTCCGGTTTCAGCCATCGCCTACAAAAGTCGTGCAGTTGGCTGCAAAGTCCTCGGGGACCCTCAGCCTCCTGGTATTGGAGGCTCCTGAAGTTGCAAGGCTGAACTTCTGAAGGAAGGATGGTTTCCTCCTCCAGGATCTCCTCCCCAGTTCTTGTCCAGATTTCCCCACCCTTCCCAGGCTGAACAGCTGAAGGGCCTTTTCCGCTTCCCTCCTTTGCAAAAGGTTGTGTCTCCATCCTTTCTCTCTCCCGCAGAGCAACTGCAAATGGGTCCAAGGACTCTGGTGGATCTCCAGATGCCTTTTCCTTCACAGGACCATTTCTGGGGCCGCAACAGGACGGATCCCTGCAAGTTATTCCTCTCTTTTTTTCTGTTCCCCCAAAGAGAGAATTTTGGCTTGCAAAGATTTCAAATGGCTTCGAGTTTCTATATCTGAGATGGAAAGAAAAATAAACTGCAGGAATTAGAAAATGGAATTCAGCCACTGAGCAACCTTGCCCGGAGCCCCAAACGGCCCATCCCAGCGCAGGACTCAGGTCCCCCTCCCGAACAGGTTCGGGAAGGAGGCAGCTGGAGAGGCCTCCCCGCTTCTCTTCCCCTCGGGGAGCCGGGTGCGAATCCCGCCTCCTCCTCGCCCGGCTTCTCTCCTCTCCTGGTGGGCCTCCGCAAGCCGACCCTCCCCTCTCCCCCCATTCGGGCGCTTCCCGGACACTGGGGTGGGGGGAGGCATCCCCGCATCCCCCGGCATGGAGAGGGCGGCTGGGGAGAATGGGACCCGGGAAGAGCCCCCCCTCTCACCAGGGGCACGTCTGGATCTCTCCCCCACCCCCGCCTCCTGCGGAGCCCCACGGGTTAAAGAGAGAGAGTGCAACGGCCTAGAGCGGCAAGTATATGCACCAAGACAAATTCCTTGTGTTTAAGCCAAGCGCGCCCCCTGATGGATTTAGCGCAAAATGCCAGGATTTTATAAAGGGCGGGATAGCGTCTTAGGGAAAGAGAGAGGGCGGGGAAGATGGGTATGAGAGTAGAAGGAACCCCTTCATGGCTCCATCAGACAAAGGCTTCAACGTCTCCAGGGGTGGCACTTTCTCCATCACCTTCTCTTCTGTGGAAATGGAGAAAAATCTCTGCAGGATTTGAACTCGTTTCCCTCAAGAACAGCCGCCCTGAAGGCTGGGCAGAGATTGGAGGAGGCCTCAAAAGGAATAAATCCCAGCTGGGTGTCAGAAGAGGAGGCTCTCTGGGAAATCCAGCTTGTCTTAAGGTTGTTGAGAACTCCGACCTGAAGGGGAGGAAGGTGGATACAGACAGGAAAGCCACAATCAGGAATTTTTATTGTGTTTTTTTTTATTTCAGTACATATAGATGTCCTTCTCAAACTATTTGCTCAGCTTCTCAGAGAAGGAGGGACCAGAAAGGCAGAGACACCCTCCAGCTGTCCAAATGTATCACCCATCACCATCAAGAGGACGTTCTAACCCGCTATATACAGCTTTAGTCAGATCCCATTTGGAATACTGCGTCTAGTTCTGGAGACCTCACCTAAAAAAAGATATCGATAAGATTTTGTGAGTCCAGAAATAGGCCACATGAGGGGAAAGCAAGGAAAGATCTCTGTCATCAGAGGGAGCTTCTTGGAGTGATTGGGGAATCTCACCACTTAAATATTGGCAGCCACGCATCACCTTCAGGCCAAATAATAACCTTAATCTCCACCTTTGCTCGTGTTCGCTTTAAAACCTCCCACTTAGCAAAAAAGCACAAGAAAGGATTGAGGATTCAGAATCAGAATAGAGCTGGAAGGGAACTTGGAGCTCTTCTAGTCTAGCTCAAGCAGGACATGCTTGATTTAATTTCCATCCAATGTTGGAAATTGATAGTTGGTCTTGCCCTCTGGTGCTTTAAAAAAAAAAGGACCCCATCCTTTGTGGCAGCCTCTGAAATACCGGAATATTGTTATCATGTCACTCCTAAACCTTCCATTCTCTAGACTAGCCAAACTCAAATCTTGCAACAGTTCTCCATAAATTTTAGTCTTCAGGCCTTTAATCATCTTAGCTGCTCTTTCTGCACTTTCTCCATAGTCTAAACATCTTTTTTGTAATGTGATGACCAAAACCGGATGTAATATTTTAGGTCTTACAAAGGCTTTATAAAATGGTACTAATATTTCACGTGATTTTGATTCTATGCCTCTGTTTATACAACCAAGAATTATATTAGTTTTTTTGGCTCCTGCCACACACAGGTAACTCATGCTTAAGTGATCATCCATTTGGACTCCAAGGTCCTTCTGACAGTTACTGTTTTTGGGCCAGGTTTCATGTAATCTCTTTTTCCTATCCAGGTATAAAATCTTACTTTTCTTCATATTAAATTTCATTTTGTTGAATTCAACTTTGTGTCATTTGGATCAGAAAAGCAAAATAGGCATACACATAAAAATCTATAGACACATTTGTGGATCAGTGGTTAGAATGCAGTACTACAGTTTAATTGCGCACAGTCAGGAGTTCAGTCTTGACCGGCTTACAGTTGATTCAGACTTTCATCCTTCTGAGGTTGCTAAAATGAGGATCCAGATTGATGGAGACAATATGCTGACATTGTAAACCACTCAGGGTCCTGTAAATCATTGTGGAGTAGTATATAAATCTAAGTAAAATTGCTATTACGATATAGTTTCTCCTGAGCGTGGATCCTTTTATGGGAAGATAAGATTATCATTCTGAGCAAAGCTCATTCCATATTCCATGCATTTAAATGGTTTCTCTTCTGAGTGGACCATCTTATGGGAAATAAGATTACGTTTTTGAGAAAAGGTCTTTCCACACTCCATGCATTTAAATGGCTTCTCCCCTGTGTGGCTTCTTTTATGGGAAATAAGATTACATCTATGAGCAAAGGTCTTCCAACAATCCATGCATTTAAATGGCTTTTCCCCTGTATGGATCTTTTTGTGGCTTCTAAGTCCACTGCTTTGAGTAAATGTCTTTCCGCACTCCATGCATTCATATGGCTTCTCCCCTGTGTGGATCATCTTATGAAAAAAAAGATGACGTTTTTGAGCAAAGGTCTTTTCACACTCCATGCATTTATATGGCCTTTCCCCTGTATGGATCTTTTTGTGGATAGCAAGTCCATTGCTCCGAGTAAACGTCTTTCCACACTCTATGCATTTAAATGGTTTCTCTCCCGAGTGGATCTTTTTGTGACTTCTAAGTCCA